TATTTATTTTGCTCTAAAAGTTTTTTGGTGTGTGTGTGTGTGTGTGTGTGTTTGGTGTGTGTTTGGTGTGTGTGTGTGTGTGTGTGTGTGTGTGTGTGTGTGTGTGTGTGTGTGTGTGTGTGTGTGTGTGTGTGTGTGTGTGTGTGTGTGTGTGTGTGTACTGGAGCTTGACATCAGGGCCTGAGGCTCTTGCTTGGCTTTTTCCCTCAAGGTTGGTACTCAGCCACACTTTTACTTTTGGCTTTTTTCTGCTTTACTGGAGATAAGAGTCTCTCAGGCTTTTTTGACCCAACTGGCTTTGAATCTCAGGTTCAAATTTTGAATCTCAGATCTCAGCTTCCTGAGTAGCTAAGAAAGTGTCTATTCCTTAAAACAACTGTGAAATCTATCCACACTCCCTAAGATGCTGTTCAACCTATGAGCCAAGACAATACTGTTATTATTATTTCCAGTATTGGGGTTTGAACTGAGGGCCTTGACTTTCTCAGCTAGTATTCTCCCACTTCAATCATGTCTCCAAGTCCAGTTATTTTGCTGGTTATTTTGGAGATAGAGTCTCATAGACTCTGAAATAACTAGCTCTGTCTGGTCTTAAACCTTTAGGCACTTAAGACCTTGACCAATTCAAGATGAAAAAGGGTTGCTTGGTTAGGAATATAACTGTATCTCAAACCAAAGATTTATCTGGTGGTTCAGAAATCCATCTACACTCAATAACCCATCCCTTAAGAACACAGAACAAGTCTGGGCTAGCAAAGTTTAACTACAGGGTTTTCAAAGACAAGGCAAATACAGTAATCTCCAAGACTACATGTTAAATCTGTTTTGTGTGTTTGTGTGTGTGTGTGTATAATTACTCAACTGGGGATTTTACAGGTTTTAGTAGGCAGTATGTGTATTCTAATCTTTTATTGCTCTCAACAGGAAAAGGCAACAAAGAGTAACTCATTATGACAATGGAATTTTGTCAAATACAAAATATTCACCCTTGCCTCCACTGCCTGTCTCTGGTTTGTAAGCTTGGCTAACCAAATCAAAGGGTAGTTAATACCCTTTCATCACAGTACCTCAGCTGCAGGAAGCCAGGACAATGAACAGAAAAAGGATTCTGACACTGGATATGGGAACTGCCCCAGTGTCTGCTGCTCAAAGGCAACACGAACACTTTAATTATGATGCATATTTCCAAGACAGGCTACTGAGGGCCCCTAGTCAAATCCTCTTCACCACTGTCCTCATTCTCAAAATAATTCCCCAGTCAACATGACTATGACCATCCTGGCTGCTCAGGACCTGCTTTACTTTTAAGAATCTGTTCAATTTCACTAAAAGGGCTGGGAAGGTGGCTGGCTCAGTGCTTGCCTTGCATGCATAAGGCCCTGGGTTCGATTCCTCAGCACCACATAAGCAGAAAAAGCTGGAAGTGGCGCTGTGGCTCAAGTGGTAGAGCACTAGCCTTGAGCTGAAGAGCTGAGGGACAGTGCCCAGGCCCAGAAGTTCAGGCCCCACGACCGACAAAAAATAAAAATAAAAGGGCTGGTTTCTATGCCTAGTTGTTTTTTTGTTTTGTTTTGGTAAGAAAACTTGGCAGAGCTTTATTGAGTAGGCAAATGAACAAGCAAACAGGCAGTAGGCATGCAGACAAACAGAAAGGTGGAGACATACTCAGTGTGGGTGTTCTAGAGAAGGACACTGTGCCTAGTTTTTTTTTTTTTCTGGTCATGGGGATTGAACTCTGGGCCTGGGCACTGTCCCTCAGCTCTTCAGCTCAAGGCAAGCACTCTACTGCTTGAGCCACAGCGCCATTTCCGGTTTTCTAGTGGCTTAATTGGAGATGAATATCATGGACTTTTCTGCTGGGCTGGCTCTGAACCGTGATCCTCAGATCTCAGCCTCCTGAGTAGCTAGGATTACAGGCGTGAGCCACTGGCACCCAGCTGCGCCTAGTTTTAAAAGGAAATCTTCCCCAGTGTGTATTTAGCGTGTATTTAGAAGGCAGTCACAAAAACATCCTTAGAAATACATGGGTAGGTACACTGGAAGAGAAATAGTTTTGTTGAATGTGGTTGTTAACGTACCTTTATTATCTCAGCAATAAGGGAGGCTGAGGCAGAAAGATCTTGAGTTGAAGATCACACTGGATTACATAGTAAGATTCTATCTCAAAAAAATTGAACAAAAGGACAAGGAAAAATGAAAAAGAAGAGAGAGGAAGAAGGAAGAGAAGCAGGACAGACATAATCCATGATTCCTTTCAAGAGTGCTATTCACAGGCTAAGAATGTGGCTTAGTGGTAGAGTGCTTGCCTAGCATGCATGAGGCCCTGGGTTTCATTCCTTAATACCACAAGAACTAAAAAGAAAAAAAATTTAAAGAGTACTGCTCACCCTAAATAAAGCTATACTATTGAAAACCCCACTAAAGACAGATATAGGTCTTAAATTTCACCAAGTTAACCAAAGCTACAGTAACCCTTTCTAAAATCTAGTCATTTGTATTTCAGCTTCATTTTCCTATCTTCTTTTTCAACCATGCTATTTCCTCATCATATCTACTGATCTCCACCCATTATTCAATGTTCAATAGGTTCCATGGTTTTTATCAGTCTGTCCTGCCATCCTCCTACTCTATGCTACAACAGCTGCCCCTTGTGTTCTACCCAAATACATCTCCTGGCACCATTTTCCTCACTCCTACTGCTGCCTCCACATCATCCTCTACATCCTATGTCTGGAACAGTCTCCTACTTCCATCTGCCATTTTTGCTCTCCTCTCCAACTTATCATTACCTCAAAAGCCCACTTCTCCCAGGAAGCCCTCCTGAACCAAGATTAATAATAACAAATGACAAAAAAAAATCAACTGATACTGAGGTTATTCCAAATTTTCCCAAGAGGAATTACCATTTATGGATAAGAAGTGATGCCTTCATAACCAATTTATGTTGAGGGTGGTGGTACAATACATTTTCTAAGAGATATGGAGATACAAAGAAAGGAGGCTGGGAAGATAGCTCAGTGGTATAGTGCTTGCCTTGCATGCATGAGGTCCTCGGTTCAATTCCACAACACCAAATAAGCAGAAAAAGCCAGAAGTGGTGCTGTGGCTCAAGTGGTAGAGCACTAGCCTTGAGCTGAAGAGCTGAAGGACAGCACCCAGGGCCAGAGTTCAGGCCCCACTACCGACAAAAAAAAAAAAAAAAAGAGATAATTTCCACAGGGTCTTTTTTTGTTGTTTTTTTGCATTAGGGATTAACCTCACCTCAGGGTCTTAGACTTGGTAGGCAGGTCCTCTATCATTGGAGTCAACTTCAGTCCTTACATGCCATCTGTTTTAATTCCCTCAGATTCTAAGAGTATTCATTTCTTTTCTTTTTTTTTTTTTTTTTTTTGTTGTTGGTCATGGGGCTTGAACTCTGGGCCTGAGCGCTGTCCCTCAGCTCTTCAGCTCAAGGCTAGCACTCTACCACTTGAGCCACAGCGCCTTCCGGTTTTCTGGTGGTTTATTGGAGATAAGAGTTTCACGGACTTTCTTGGCTGGGCTGGCTTTGCACCGCAATCCTCAGATCTCAGCCTCCTGCGTAACTAGGATTACAGGCGTGAGCCACCGGCGCCCGGCAAATATTCATTTCTTATGCCCTAGATATCTATTAGCAAGTGGCATACCTATTTGTATCAGTTTAAAAGTTATAGAAGATATAGCTAGGTATGCTTGTTAACTTTAAGCTATTCAGGAGGCTAAGATTAGGTAGATCAAGGTTGGAGGCCAGCCTGGGAAAAAACATTTGCAATATTCCCATCTCAAATCACTAAAAATCTGGGTATGGTATCGTATGCCTGTCTTCACAACTACCATCAAAGAAGAAGATCCAATATCAAAAATAATCAAAGCAAAAATAATCTAATCAAAGGTGCTGGTAGCTTATGCCTCTAATCCTAGCTGCTCAAGAGTTGAGATCTTAGGATCATGGTTCGAAGCCTACCCAGACAAGAAAGTCCATGAGAATCTTTTTTTTGTCGGTCGTGGGGCTTGAACTCTGGGCCTGGGCGCTGTCTCTCAGCTCTTCAGCTCAAGGCGAGCGCTCTACCACTTGAGCTACAGCGCCACTTCTGGTTTTCTGGTGATTTATTGGAGATAGGAGTCTCACGGTCTCTCCTGCCCGGGCTGGCTTTGAACCGAGATCCTCAGATCTCAGCCTCCTAAGTAGCTAGGATTACAGGCGTGAGCCACCAGCGCCCCAGCTTCCATGAGAATCTTACTTTCACTTAACTACCCAAAAGCCCAAAGTGAAGCTGTAGCTCAAGTGGTAGAGCACCAGTACTGAGCAGAAAAAGCTCAGGGCCAGAACCCAGTACCTGAGTTTAAGTCCTAAGACCAGACCAATAACAAAGCAAAGAGGGCTGGAGGCATAGCTTGTGGTAGACCTCCTGTCTAGCAAATGGCAAAGGCCTAACTTCAAAGCCCAGTACCACCACCAAAAAACAAAAAAATTAAGTTTTAGCCGATACTTCTAACAAAACATATATTAATTAGATGTTTAAATGTTAAAGGAATCAAAGAATCTATCAGCTATGGTGGTAATTTGTGCAGACTTTTAAGAAGTTATTTCTATATACAACATTGCTTCCAACAGAAATGAAATTACCATGACTGTAGGTTTGGCTTCATATTTTGAAGAAAGGTTTTAGAACAAGTTTTAGATGTGGTGGGGCTACTCACCCTCACATCCAGTGAGTCTCTTATATGAAGCTGCTTTGCTTCTGTTTTAAAAGCAGCTTTTATTGCAGGTTAAGATAGAAAGGATGATTCCAGTCTCAATCCAAGCAAAGCTGAGGTTAGTTGCATCATCTCCATCCTCAGGGCCCTGATATTGTGGGAGCCCAGGGTAAGAGTAGGGTGAGTCCAGGACATGAGGACACCCATTAGCAGACAGTGCAGAGTGTAGGGTGGGCGTCCAACACCCTAAGTGTACATTAGTTACCAGAATACTGACACACCCATAAATTAAATAGCAAAACATTTTAATCCATTAACTCTAAAAATAACAGAGACATTTTATTTCCTGTACCACCTCCTCAAAAGTCTAGTATAGATCAGACAGCCAGACTGCAAAGTATGAAAGTCAGACATTAAAGTTACAAAGGCAGCTGGGGACAAGATCATCATGGGGAGGTTTTCATCCTATTTGCTCATAATTATAGGGTGTCAGCTTTAAAAATCACAAGAAAAGAAAGCTTTCTCATGATCTTAAACAATTCATTTTAATTGTGTCTGCCATGTCTGAAGGTAAAACACATGATCAGCAAACTTAAGCTCTCAAGTACAGGGTCTGAACTGGATTTCTGGGAATGAACACTGTGGTTTAGTTTGGTTCTATTTCTACCAACACTGTGATGTAAGGTACTATGGTTCTTGTTTTAGTTACAAGAGGTGTTAGGAATGAATGCCCACTCGCATTTAATAATAGCTTCTGTAGCACATACTCTGAAGCACAATACCAACAACAGGAGTTTCTTAAAGCAGGGTAGAGAAGAAAGCAGACATTAATGCAACTTAAGGTTTTCTTTGTCCCTCTCTTTACAATAAGAATTCTGCTCAAAAACAAAACTCTTCAGAATGCTTATCCGTCATTCAGCCCACAACATTCCACACTTTTGACTTGTGTTCCCAAGCCTATAAAGATTCAGGCTTTCGTGATGTATCCTTCTCGGATGAGGAAATCATAGATTTTCCGCGTTTTGTTCACGTCTATCTTGATGAGAGCTCTTGCTTGTGCCAGCCTCAAGCCTCCTTGCTTGTTACATTCATTCAATAGAGCAGATTTGTATTCTAAATACGCTCCAGGGACCAATCTCACCATCTGACAGAGCTGCAAGACATGGCAAATTTAATAAACATTAACATCTGTAATTCTCATAATTTAATCCAGCAGGTAGAGCAAAAACAAAAAGTGACATCAACCTCCAACTATTTATAGAAACTGTTGAGTGGCTGGACCACATTCCACTTAGTTTCTTCTATGGAGAGAACACTCCCTAAGGATAGACGCTCCGGAAGAAAAAGCCAGGATGTGATGCCAGGAGAGCCTTTAGCAAGGGAAGGCTGGCTCAGGGGTCTGGTTTTTACAGGAAATAACTGTGTTCTTGAAGCGCAGCCTGGCTTACTCAGGGTAGAGCGTGGGTAGAGACCAATACTCTTGTCAGGTAAGAGTTACAGGCAGCGAGGGAAGAGGTACAGCTGCTTGGATTCCCAAGTGAAAAATTTTGTTAGTATTGGCATAAAGGAATACTGCTTGCTTCTGTGATTACATTTCTTACTCTGAAGGAGAAGCCATCTGGACTACTAAATATCTTGAAAACTGGCTCAATTCCAGTTCACCTGCTATTATCTAGCAATAAGCAGTCTGAAGTAATCATTAAGAGGGTAAGATAAAAAGTACTGAGGCTGGGAAGGTGGCTCAGTGGTAGAGCGCTTGCCTTGCATGCCTGAGGCCCTGGGTTTGATTCCTCAGCACCACATAAGCAAAAAGAAAAAAGCCGGAAGTGGCGCTGTGGCTCAAGTGGTAGAGCGCTAGCCTTGAGCTGAAGAGCTGAGGGACAGCGCCCAGGCCCAGAGTTCAGGCCCCACGACCGGACCAAAAACAAAGAAAAAAAAAAAGATAAAAAGTACTTGAAGCTGGGCTCTGATGGCTCATGTCTGTAACCCTAGCTACTCAGAAGGCTGAGATATGAGGATTGTAATTCAGAGCCAGCCGGGACATGAAAGTCCATGAGACTCTTATACTCCAATTAGCTGCCAGAAAACCAGATGTGGTGCTGTGGCTCAAAGTGTAGAGTGCTAGCCTTGAGCAAAAAAGTTGAAGGACAGGGCCCAGGTCCTGAGTTCAAGATCCACAACTGACCAAAAAAAATAAAATAAAATAAAAAGTGCTGGAAATTCCAGGTCATTTTGTTAAATCAATCAGCCTGAACTGTGACTTCCTTCAATATACACGTCCTCTAACCCCCAAACTAGTCTTTCAATTCTTTTTTTCAAAATAGACTTCAGAGCTAGGAAATACTCTTTTGATGATGACTTCTGTGAGGTGTATACATTTAAATTTTAGAAACAGCCAAAAGCAATATAAAAACAATGATTATTATAGGAAAGAAAAGCAGGTCAAAAAAACAAAAACAAATAGTAACCACAGCCAGAGTCTGACCTATGTAGTGAGACCATCTTGAAAAGAAAAAAAAGGGGTGGGGATGGTGGTGGTGGGGAGACCTTTGAGCCTAGATCAAATGCCACCATTCTTCTTTTGAGGGAAGTCCAAGTATCATTTATTGGGCATTTACTGTGTGTCATACTCTGCTTACCACATGTGAAGCTGAGTTCAAATCCCAGCACCTCCAAATAATAGTAAGAAGAGTTAATAGCCAGATATGGCAACATATACCTATAATCCCAGTTACTCAAGAGGCAGAGGAAATAGGATCTCAAGTTTGAGGTCAGTCCCAACAAAGTTTGTGAGACTATATCTCAAAAATAAAATACAAAAACTAAAGGACTAAAAGCATAACTCAAGTGGTATTTACCTAGCATGTCTGAGGCCTCAGGTTCAATTCCCAGTACTACCAAACAATAAATCAAAATTTATGTGTGATTAGTCTATGATGAGATAATTCCAAAAGTATTTTAAGCTATCTGACTAGAAAAAGTTCAAAACATCTCAAAGTGACCATTTTAACAGGAAATATCTACTTTGGTGTTAAAAGCTACTTTAAATGTTTTCTTAAAGAGCTGGGAACTGGTGGCTCACACCTTAAATCCTATTTAGGAGGCTGAGATCTGAGGATCAAGGTTTGAAGCCAGCCGGGGCAAGAAAGTTATAAGACTTTTATCTCTAATTAACCACCTAACAATTGAAAGTGGAGTTGTGGCTCAAAGAGGTAGAGTGCTAGCCATGAGCAAAAAAGCTCATGGACAGCGTCCAGGCCCTGAGTTCAAGCCCTAGGACTGACACACTCACACCCACACCCATACACTTCCCCTGAATACACAGAGAAAAAAAAATTGTTATTTTAACTTACTTACATAAAGTACCTAGTAAAGTTTCTAACACAAGGTGAAGGAGGCTTTCTGAAATTTAAGATTATTAAGTGTATTAATGCCTGGACTTCCAGAACAGAGCTGTGTACATATGTTAATAGAATAAAATAGCTATGTGTCTGTAACAGATTTTAAATGACAATTCAATGAATTATCAGCCTCTATTCTCTTTCCAGTTTTCTTCATTTTTGTTACCTCCTTTTCCTTTTCATTCAGTTTCTCTGTACCAGGGAGGCCAGTGAGGTTCAAGGGTGGTGCACTCCGTCTACCTACAGACATAGGAAAGAAGAAATATTTCACATGAGCGACAACTGCTCACCTGAGCAGTATGACAAGATGAGCAGAACAGTGTAACAAAGCAGTATAGTATAGCAAAGCTCCGTGCAACTAGATCAGCTATGTATAGGAACATTGCATCTCTGTAGGAAATCCAATCTCTGCAGGTCTGGTTAATAGGAACACAGATAACTTAATGTTTACTTTATAGTAAAAATAATTCAGATGGCCTTTGTCCTGCTAAAATACACAACTAATCATCTATACTTTAGCATCAAATATGAATACTTAATGCAGTAATTATCAATATTTCCTATCACATAGGAAACTCAAATCTTAAGTCCAAATGTCATCCACTTAAGAAAGCAGCCTTGCTGGGCACTGGTGGCTCACACCTGTAATCGTAGCTACTTAGAAGGCTGAGATCTGAGGATCCTGATTCAAAGCCAGCTCAGGCAAGAGAATCTGTGAGACTCATATCCCAAATTAACCACCAAAAAGCTAGAAGTAGAGCTATAGGTCAAGTGGTAGAGCACTAGTCTTGAGCAAATAAAGTATGGGACACGTCTCAGGTCCAGGGTTGAAGCCCCAGTCAGTAACAGCACCAAAACAAAAGATCTTTTGTAGTTATTGTTCTCTCAAAAGATTATCCCTATCGGGCTAGAAATGTGGCTTAGCGGAAGAGTGCTTGCCTAGCATGCATGAAGCCTTGTCTGAGTTTGATTCCTCAGTACCACATAAATAGAAAAAGTGGAAGTTGCACTGTGGCTCAAGTGAGAGTGCTAGCCTTGAGTAAAAGAAGCTCAGGGACAGTGCCCAGGCCTTGAGTTCAAGCCCCAGGACTGGCAACCAAAAAAAAAAAAAAAAAAAGATTATCCCTCTTTACTACACACAGAACAATAAAACTTTATAGGGCAAAACAAGGACTAAGAAAGTCAACTCAATACCCAAAAAAGAAATCCAAATAAAAAGCCAGTGGTCACACGAAAATGGGAAGCTGGATACACAAAATCTTTTAAATTTTATTCTGAATGTACATTAGGATTAGTATTCAATTGGGGATAGAGTGAGTTAAGTAAAAGAAATGGAATGCTGTATTAACAAATTTTGCACCAACGATGTAGCTCAGAGGAACAGTGCTTACTCAGCATGTACAAAGCTCTAGATTGGACCTTGAGACCATACACATACAAAAACTGGTCATTTTGAGCCAGTTGCACAGACTGAAATCTTAGCATTCAGAGGGCTAAGGGGCAGGATAATAACTTCTAGCTCAGGGGCTGGGAAGGTAGCTCAGCGGTAGAGTGCATGCCTTGCAAACATGAGGCCCTGGGTTCGATTCCTCAGCACCACATAAACAGAAAAAGCCGGAAGTGGCGCTGTGGCTCCAGTGGTAGAGCACTAGCCTTGAGCTGAAGAGCTGAGGGACAGTGCCCAGACCCAGAGTTCAGGCCCCATGACCAGCAAAAAACAAACAAACAAAAAAAATAACTTCTAGCTCAGTCTAGGCCATGTAACAATACTTAAGCTCAAAAAAATACAAACAAGCTGGGAGTGTGGCTCAGTGACAGAGCACTTAGCTAGATGCATGAGTCCCTGAGTTGTCAGCCCTTTGCCCAAGCACAAAAACAAAACAAAACAGAAAACAAATTTAAAACATTAACTGTTTATGCTGTTTCTGGGGACTGCCTTTTAGGCACGGAAGAAAAGGAGAAGGGATTGTTACAAGTTGTTCACTGGTGGAAACTGGTATTTCTATATAACAATGAAAAGAATACAAACTGATACTAAACGCTTAGGAGAGGAGATAAACTCATGTAGCACTTTACAAGTCATCAAAGACTAGGTGAAGCCTGGCTGTGCTTTAATTACTGTGATTACATGCGTATGTGTGTTCCAGTGTTAAGGCTTGAACTCAGGCCTGGGTAGTTTTCTCTGAGCTTTTTTGCTTAAGGATAGTACTCTACTACTTAAGCCACAGAGCCACTTCCACCTTTTTGGTGATTAACTGAAGATAAGTCTCATGGACTTTCCTGCTCAGGCTGGCTTCAAACCATAATCCTTAGATCTCAGCTTCCTGAGTTGCTAGTATTAAAGGTGTGAGCCACTGGCACCTGGTAGTCCGTATGTTTTGTTGTTTTTTTTAAATTGTGAAAATACCGTACAGAGGGGTTACTATTACATGGGCAAAGAGTCTATATGTTTTGATTAGGCAAATGGACTATTTATCATATAGCAAGCAGAGGTGAATGTTAACCAAGAAAATAGGCAGACTACCATAATCTTGGTTCAGAACTTTACAACTAAATACCTCTGCAAATTTCTAGTCACTGATTAACAATCACCAAGTAGCGCCAGGAAGCACATGTCTGAACCTTGGTTTGTAAACCAATTGCAAAATTGGACATATCCAAAGAGGTAAACCTTAGAATCAGAAATATCTTAATGGTTTAACTCACAAGAAATCCTGGAGGGCTGGGAAGGTGGCTCAGTGGTAGAGCACTTGCCTTGTATGCATGAGGCCCTGGGTTCGATTCCTCAGCACCACATAAAGAAAAAAGCCGGAAGTGGCACTGTGGCTCAAGTGGTAGAGCGTTAGCCTTGAGCTGAAGAGCTGAGGGACAGCGCCCAGGCCCAGAGTTCAGGCCCCACGACTGGACCCCCCCCCAAAAAAAGAAATCCTGGAGTTTCTGGCAAGTTACATGTTTCTTTGCTCATATCAAAGATCTTAATTTGAGATTTCACAAAATCTGTGGTGTATACAACTTCAATAAATTAATATTGATAGATGTCAGTATTTTACTAATGAATGCTGGGAAAATAAAGAAGCTACTTCTCTGGAATCTTTTTCTCTCCCTGTATGTACTCTTACTCAAGGACCAAGATCATCCCTGTGGGGCTCTGAACATTCTGAAAACATGCTGATGTTTATAAATTGAGCTAACATGTGATTACTATTACTTTGCCAAAGCACTGTGCTCCCACAGAGGGAGAACTGCTGGATCATCACAACCCCTTGAATGTAAATTTGCCAATTCAAGACTTATTCTGAGCCACCATTGGTGGCTCACACCTATAATCCTAGCTACTCAGGAGGCTGAGATCTGAGGATTATAGGTCAAAGCCATCATGGGCAGGAAAAGTCCACAAGACTCTTATCTCAATTAACCATCAAAAAACCTGAAAGCGGAGCTGTGATTCAAGTGGTTGAGCATAGCCTTGAGCTAAAATGCTCAGAGACAGGGCGCAGGCCCTGAGTTCAAGCCCAAAGATTAACGTGTGGGATTGCAAACACATACACAAAGACTTCCTCTGAGAGGGGGTTGTAGCTCAGTAATAGAATGTTTGCCCTGTATATGTAAGGCCATACATTCAACTCTTAGTATTGGGAAATAAAAAAAGAAAAGAAACCACCAAAACAAACCAACAAATAAAATCTTGCTGGAGAAATAATTACCTGAATTCGAAGCCATTGGAATGGAAGGACTCAGCCCAGAATCACTAAAATGAAAACAAAAGAGAATTTAAACTTTTGTCTTATGAAAGTAGACAATTTCTAAACATCACTGTGTGACTGGGGGCCCTTTATCAGGAAGGCTGCCCAGAAAGAGATATAATGAGATAGTGTGTGTGTGTGAGTGAGAGAGAGAGAGAGAGAATGTACTAGAGTTACTAGAGTTTGAATTCATGGCCTAACACTTGCTAGAGAAGCACTCTATCATTGAACTGCACTTCTAACCCTTTTTTGCATTGGTTGTTTGTGAAATAGGGTCTACATCCTGCCTGAATATGCTTAGACTATGATATGATTTTTTACTTTCCCATAGTTAGGATAACAGGTACACATCACTATACCTAGCTTCTTCCACAGATAGAATCTCAGACTTTTCTTCCCTGGGCTAGAGAAACCACAATCCTCAGATCATACCCTCCCACAGATAGCATGCCACATGCCACCATATCCAGTCACTGGTTGAGAAAAATTCTCATGTGTATGCTCAAGCTTGCCTCAATTTTCAGTTCTTCTGATCTGTCACCTAAGTAGCTAAGATTAAACTATATGAGTAACAGGATGTCCCATTGTATAGATCAGGAAAAAGTTGTTCTGAGGGGGAAAAAATCACTTAGTTTTGCTAAGAACTGCTTTTAACATGGGATATCCTTGATTCAATTCATGAAGAAGAAACAGGAATTTGATTTTCTTTCTTTTCTTTTTTTTTTGGTCGGTCGTGGGGCTGTCCCTCAGCTCTTCAGCTCAAGGCTAGAGCTCTACCGCTTGAGCCACAGGGCCACTTCCCATTTTCTGAGTGGTTTATTGGAAATAAGAGCAGTCACAGACTTTTCCTGCCTGGTCTGGCTTTGAATGGCTATCCTCAGATCCTCAGATCTCAACCTCCTGAGTAGCTAAGGATTACAGGTGTGAGCCACTGGCGCCAGGCTCAGGAATTTGATTTTTTTTCTTTTTGGTTGTTTGTGGAACCTGAACTCTGGGCCTGGGCGCTGTCCCTCAGCAATTCAGCTCAAGCCTAGCGCTCTACCTCTTGAACCACAGCGCCACTTCCAGCTTTTTCTGCTTATGTGGAGCTGAGGAATCAAACCCAGGACCTCATGCATGCAAGGCAGGCATTCTACCACTGAGCCACTTTCCTAGCCCAAGGAATCTGATTTTCAATGAAACTCCTGCTAGTTGAGTTGGGTGTGGTGGCTCAAGCCTGTAATCCTAACTAAGCAAAGATTGAGAGGATTGACATTTGGGGACAGCTCAGGCAACAGGAGTCCGTCTCAACCAATAGCTGGGCAAAGTGGCATGTAAATGTCATTCTAGTGAAGCAAGGAAGCACAAGTAGGAGGATGGCAGAACAGGCTGGCTGAAGATATAAGGTGAGGCCTTACCTGGAAAATAATGCAAAAAGGGCTGGAGACATGGCTCTAGTGGTAGAACACCAGCCTAGTGAGTGTGAGTCCCAGTGCAAACCCAAGTACCACCAAAAAAAAATTTTTTTTAAATCATACCAGTAGTTAAGGAGGGAGAGATAGAGAAAACATGGATGGGAGGTTTGGGATAGTCAGTATTTTTATTTTTTTAAAGTAAGATAAAAGTAGAGAAGTAGGATTGTAGAGGTAGTAAGGCTTGAACTTAGGGCTTCCCACTCATCCTTAGCTTCTTGACTCAAGGCTGGCTCTCTACCACTCAAGCCATACCTCTAGTTCCAGCTTTTTACTAGTTAGAGAGAAGAGTCTCAGGGATTTTTTTTTTTTTTTTTTTTTTTGCCAGGGATGGCTTAGAACCACAATCTTCAGATCTCAGCCTTTTGAGCAGCTATGATTATAGGCATGAGCCACTGGTTTTCAATTGTTTCATAAAAATGTCAGTACTATCCTGTTTCTGAAACTGACTGGTAAAATCTTTCTGGATTCATGTAGGTACCCAATTAGTATACGAGTGTATGCACAGAAGTGTCCCAAAACCCTCGTGAAGGTCACAGCCTCCTTCACCCTAGGCTAAATGCGCACATGTCAGCTTGCCGGCGGAGCCACTGCTGGCATGCACTACTGTCCTGGATATACTGGAGAACTTCGGAGAGCATGGTGCGTTTAAGGCGCTCTTCCTCCCTCGTCTTCTTTAGGTGATCATATGTCCTGGCACCTGGAAGGAAAATAATTGACAACAGGGAGAATGCAACAGAAGTTAGAAGTGAGCTGGGCTCTGGTGGCTCACGTCTAATCCTAACTCTAGCTACTCAGGAGGCTGAAATCTGAGGATCATGATTCAAAGCCAGCCCAGGCAGGAAAGTCTGTGAGACTCTTATCCCCAATAAACCACCAGAAAACCAGAAGTGGTGCTGTGGCTCAAATGGTAGAACGCTAGCCTTGAGCTGAAGAGGGTAGGGACAGCGCCCAGGCTCAGAGTTCAAGACCCACAACTGACCAAAAAAAAAAAAAAAAAAGTTAGAAGTGAAGACCCTCCTAGGTAACCAGCAGGATTGTTTTTTCCTTTGTAAAACCATAGACAAGCATATTTCCCTGAGTTTGAAATCAATTTGACTCTAAATATTTTTATTACATATCTATTGTTAAGAAGTTGGACATTTAAGATGGGTTAGCTGATGACTCATGCCTATAATCGGGAGGGTTAAGATCTGCTAGCCTTTAATGAAAATGCTAATGTATAGCATAGACAAATAGATTGGCAACTTTTGTTTCCTCCCTCAAAAAACAAAACAAAACAAACAAAAACCATCCTCTTTGTTAAGCATTACTCCTCCAGAGGAAGAGCAATCAATTATCAGAAAGCCAAAACTGGGTATCTGAGTCTGTATTTTCAACCTGCTAAACAGAAGAGTTTCATGGTATCTTCTACATGCTAACAAGGTTATACTGATTCCAAAATACCAAATCAGTGGCTTTCATTCTAACTCGATGAGACTCGGAAACTGAACCGTGAACAGAATCAAAACAGAAGCTAGAATGGAAACCTAAAGGTGTGTGTGTGTGTGTGTGTGTATACACACGGGCGCACACTAGTTGTGGGGCTTGAACTCAGGGCCTAAGGCCTATCCCTGAACTGTTTCACTCAAGGATAGAGCTCTACCACTTGAGCCAGAGCTCTACATCTGGCTTTTTTTGGAGCTAGGAGTCACACAGATTTTCTTGTTCTAGGCTGAGTTCAAACTAAGCCTCCTGAGTAGCTAGGATTATAGGTGTTAGCCACTGGTGCCAGGCTGTTTGCTTTTGTTGCTGTTTTGCCCATCCAGGGGCCTGAACTCAGAGCCTGGGTGCTGTCCCTGAGCTTCTTTGTGCTCAAGGCTAGTGCTCTAACACTTGAGCCAGTGACACTTCTGGCTTTTTTGAGTAGTTTGTTGGAGATGAGTCTTAGGCTGCTTGGGCTGGCTTCAAACCTTGATCATCAGATCTCAGCCTCCCGTGAAGCTAGGATTATAGGTGTGAGCCATTGGTGCATGGCTGGCTGTTTGCTTTTTAATGGCTGAGAATGAACCCAGAACTTCTATACTAGACGAGCATTCTACCATCTAGTCACAACTACAGTAGTATACTGCCTTTCCTTTTGACCTGGCTCTACTACGAACTAGCTCTTTTAGTCCCTTTAAGCCTGATTTTCTTCATTAAATATAAGTAACAACACTTCACAAGTTCACCAGGGGAATTCACTGACATTCAGTTATCCCATAGGGCCTCGTACATGATAAAGAACTGTAGATGTTAGCTACTATTAACATAATTATTACCAGTACTAAGTAGATGAGATCAATAACCTAGAGCCAGTAGAAGCCTGATAAATAAAAACAATCAGGTTATGCCTAACTAAATTTAAGAAGGTAGAGGCTAAAACCCAGGGTACATAGTAGACTTTACAATCTAGAGCAACATCTCTCTTTTGTATGTGTCATGACTTTTATTCTACCTCAGATAGTCTATATAATGTATTTATAATGATTAAATAGCTGAAACAACTAAAATAATTCAAAACTCATTTTGAAAAAGAAAACCTTGTTTTAAAAAATTCAAAAGACCTCAGAGTTTCTATGTGTTTGGAAGACAGTATATAGGTAAAACATACTTACTACAAAAATTGGTGATGCCTGCTATCCTATATTCCTGGAGCCTCTTGATTTCCCTTCGGAGTTCAAATTCTACTGTTTCCCCAAAAGAACAAGGGAAAGAAATAGGAGAAACAAAATCATCATCAGTGAGTCCTTTTGCATTTTCATTAATTATGTCTTACATCAAAAGGCTGGACAATTTCATCAAGGAAATCCTTTTTACTGGTATCATTCTCACTAGCAATTTTACCCAAGAGCCGAGAAAACCCTACTCCAGCTGTCTTTCAGATCTTGTCTCCAGATGCAACAGATGGAACTGTTCCCTAGAAAACTTAAGTAAACTGGCTGAATTCATTTTTACTACAAGATTAATGAAACCATTTTTCTTTCCTTTTTTTTTTGGTCCAAAATGGGACCCAAACTTGGTACCTGGTACTCTCACTCATTCCATGAAATCATTTTTAAATAACTAAGTTTTCCTTTCTGTTAAAATTTCTACTCACACAACCAACTTCTACATATGGAATGTCTCTAGTATTACTTGTGACCCCAATGCAAGGGAAGGACAAAAGCTTTGTGTTCAAACCCCAGTCATTTCTTTATAGCTTCTCTCCTCTAGAGACAAAAAGAGTATTATATTTTCCACGAACCAAAGACTTCTGTCTCCTCAGCGCACACAGATCAAGTTCCTCTGCTTGGGTCATTATGTGAGAGACTATTCAAATTTGGGTGCTTTTTGAAACAGAAGATGAAGAAAAAGCCTAGACAATCTATAGGGTGTAGTTTATGAAGGGACACATAAACCACATGTAACACAACCTGGGACAGGAAATAAAGAACTAGTCATTCAGTATAAACCTCACAAAAAATGCCAACCAAACAAGGTGTTTCCTGAGGACATTCCACCTGGCTCAGATAAATAACCTGTGATGCCATGTAAGGATAGCTACATGATGAGGACTGGTTAAGAATCTTGTTAAAGAACCTTCCCAGGGCTGGGAAGGTGGCTCAGTGGTAGAGTACTTGCCTTGCATGCATGAGGCCCTGGGTTCCATTCCTCAGCACCACATAAACAGAAAAAGCCGGAAGTGGCGCTGTGGCTCAAGCGGTAGAGCGCTCGCCTTGAGCTGAAGAGCTGAGGGACAGCGCCTAGGCCCAGAGTTCAGGTCCACGACCGGCAAAAAAAAACAAAAAAACTTTCCCAGCCAGGTGCTGGGGGCTCATGCCTATAATCTTAGGTACTCAGGAGGCTAAGATAAGAGGATCATGGCCTAAAGCCAGCCCAGGAGGATTTATATATCCTCAAGACTCTATTTCCAACTAGTTAGCAAAAAGCTAGAACTGGAGATGTGCCTCAAGTTGTAAAGCACCAGCCTTCAGCAAAAAACCAAGATTGTAAAGTTCTGAAACCTCTTGATGTCCCTTATAGCAAAAGGAAAAGACAGACACACACACACACAACCTTCTCAGAACTAAATTGAAGTGCCAAATATATATAACTTACATCTCAGATTGAAAAGCATAGACTAAGCCACCATATCCAGACTGTCTTAAAGTCTAGAACATACTACCTTGACAACTTTTTTCCCTTTGTGTGTGTACTAGTATTAGAGCTTAAAATAAACCTTCCAATTTTGCTTAGCTTTTTCATTCAGGGTAGGCCACACCACTGGCTTTTTTCTACCCTGGCTGGCTTCAAAGATCAATCCTCAGACTTCAGCCTTCTAAGAGGCTAGGATTACAGGTGTGAGACAGTGCCTAGCACAACTTCAGTTTTTTAATAATAAAAAAAACAAATTATAAAGCCTAGCGTTGGTGGCTCAAGTCTGTAATCCTAGATACTCCAGAGGCTGAGATCTGAGGATCACAGTTAGAAGCTAACCTAGGCAGTAAACTCCATGAGATTCTTATCACCAATAAATTGCTTAGAAAAAGCCAGAAGTGGCACTGTGGCTCAAGTGGTAGAGCACTAGCCTCAGCACAAAGAGGCTGAAAAACATTGCCCAGTCCCTAAGTTCAAGCCCTAGGACCAGGAAAAAAAATCAAATTATAACTCTTAGAAAAACCAGAAAAGTCAAGAGAATGGTAGAAGCACTACTTCCACGAATCATCTAACTCTCTCACCATTTTAAAAACTAGTTTCAATACTAAAATATTTATGTATATGTATATAACAATATGATGTCACTAGGCAATGAATCATAGTACATAATCTCAGCTACTTGGGAGGAGGAGTGTAGGAGGACTGCAGTTTTAGGCCAACCTGGGTAAAAAGTTATAGAGAATTCATCTCCAATAAGCACGTATAATGGTTCATGCCTGTGACCTCAGCTATGCATAGGAGGATAATGGTCTGAAGCCAAACCCAAGCAAAAACTTGAGACCCTTCCTGAAAACTAAAGCAAAAATGGGTGTGAGTATGTGACTGAAGGTGTAGAATACCTGCCTAGTAAGTGTAAGGCCTTTAGTTCAAACCTAATATGCTAGTATGTATAAATACGTAAGTAAATATATATATATATATACATAATAGTCAGTTGTGGGGCTTGAACTCTGGGCTTGGGCATTGTCCCTAAGCTCTTCAGCTCAAGGTGAGCGCTCTACCACTTTAAGCCAAAGCGCCACTTCAGGTTTTCTGGTGGTTAAGGAGATAAGAATCTCAGACTTTCCTGCCTGGGCTGGCTTTGAACCATGGTCCTCAGATCTCAGACTCCTGAGTAGTTAGGATTACAGGTGTGAGTCACTGGCACCAAACCTAAAATAAGTTTTAATATGATACAAATTATATACCCATACATATGTGTTTGTATATATATGCACATATATGTATATGTGTATATATATTTTTTTCTCCCCCTCAGTGCTATCCCTGAGCTAGCTAGCACTTTACCATGTGAGCTACAGCTCAATTTGTTTTTATTTTTTGTAGTTAGTTGGAGGTAAAGGTCTCATACACTTCTCTGCCTGGACTGACTTTGAATGGTGATCCTCAGATCTCATCCTCTTGAGTTGCTAGGGTTAAAGGTGTGAATCACTGGTGCCCAGCATCACTAAGTCTATTAACCTCTCTCCTCCTACCTTTACAACACTACACTAAATTTATCTCATGCTGATACAGAAATATCCATAACTTATTTGTTTACTATACATAAAATATACTTTTACCTCTCTTAGTTATATAAGCAAAAGCAAAAGCAAACATATAAACAAACACCTGTTCAATGAGGTTTAAAATCCACTTACGTGCATGGCTTTCAATGAACTTATCATGTTCCACTGGTCCCACAATCCTTGCAAAACGTCTCATCGTTTCATAAAGATCTTGGACCTCCTTGGGATACCGACGTTCCATTACTACAGAGAAAAGAACGTTCAAACCATATCATGAAGAATGTAAGGATCTCTAGGTTTACTGCACTTCCCCTCCTCCCCGCCCCCCGCTAGTCCTAGGACAAAAGGGCCTGGGCACTGTCCCTGAGCTTATTTTGCTCAAGGCTAGTACTCTACCACTTCTGCCACAGTGCCACTTCTGGCTTTTCTGTTTATGTGGTACTGAGGAATGGAACCCAGGCTTTCATGCATGTTAGGCAAGCACTCTAACACTAAGCCACATTCCCAGTTCCATTTTTTTTAAAGCAAGAAAATTGAGGAGGGACACTGTCCAAGATGCATTATACTTTTTGCTATGGCAATGGAAAAGAGAACCAAAGGCAGATCCTGCATTGTTAGGAACAATGGCTAGAATTTCTGGTATTAATTCCTGTAGGCAAACAAGCAAGGTGCAGACACAAGAATTCATGTAGATGGATCTATCAAGTGTATAGTCTCTGCCTCTCCTGAAATCTCTCTACCTACACAGGCTTAGATAAAGTATGTATTTTAGTGTTCACGAGTGCAACTTCACTTTTCTTTAAACCAAAATACTAAAACTTAACTTACTAATAAAATTACATTTTGACAAGTATCGTGTAAGTAGATGGTTACATATGAACTTGGTCAGAGCCAGCAACTCTGTAGATCACTACTGACCAAAGCTCTAATCAAAACATATCTGCAAAGAAAGATCAGGAATAAAACTGACAAAGTAACCCTAAGTTTGAGATTTCCAAGAGCTGTTTAGCTGCTTCTTTATGATTTCAATAAGATATCAGTAGTATCTAGGTTACTTCTTTCTCCTTTTGGACTAAGGATACAGGTTTGCTACTAAACAAAACAATCAAACCCTCAGAACAGAAGATTTTGAAGTAAAAGTTTAAAATCTGATATGAAGAAAAATCTATCATATTAACATCCTGTATACATCTAATAGGATGGCAATGAGTATCTCTGAAGCCACATTGCACCTGCTACTGCTAAATCTTGGAAACAGAGCTTCTCGTTAACTGTGTACTTAAGAGAATTTATAGCTAGTAACATAATAAAGCCAAACTCACTGTTTATTGATTAAAATAGAATTAATGTAAGAGTTCTTGAGTTACTCTAAGTAATGGTCAAACCTTACGAAAAAACCACCGATTAAGAAACCCCATTGATTGTTTCATTTACCAAATATGCCCAATTACTATGTATATAAAGTATATGGAAGCCTGGTCCCAGTAGCTACTTGATGGTGGTGTATGCCAGTCACCTTGCCTATGCTCTAATTACTAATTAAAACATTTTACACAAATATGAATGACTACAAATTAATAATTCTTTTTATTTTTTATTATTTTGTCGGTCGTGAGGCTTGAACTCTGGGCTTGGGCGCTGTCCCTGTGGTCTTCAGCTCAAGGCGAGCGCTCTACTGCTTGAGTCACAGTGCCACTTCTGTGGTTTATTGGAGATAAGAGTCTCATGGACTTTCCTGTTTCCTGTGTAGCTAGGATTACAGGCGTGAGCCACCAGCGCCCGGCTAAATTAATAGTTTTTTACTTTCAATATAGAATTGTTCTCCACTCGTTTGTTGTTAGTTCCTTGTCATTCATTCGAGTGTGTGTGTGTGTGTGTGTGTGTGTTGTGTGTGTGTGTGAGTGTGTGTGTACACCAGGGATTGAACTCCAGGTCTCAAAAACACTATTCTGTTGAGTGACATATCTAGTCCCATATTAGAATTTTTAAAAATCTTCTTAGGTAAGGCAACTTGGATTAAAAACCATTGCCATAAATAATTTATTTAAAACTACTTAATAATATTAAAAGAAGTTAGATTAAAAAAGTTTATACTTACACTGAAACTTCCTAAGGTTGATTAATCCATGATCTCTTATAATTCTAGAATTAAAAGTAATATTTTAGTGCAGCTTTTATTAGCCATCCTAAAAACAATAAAGTCACTCCTCACCAACTTTGCAGGTCAGTAAATCACTACCACAATTTTAGCCTCTCAAGCATCCCATAGTTTTCATTGTAAGCACAGCAGCTGGGTGAATGAATGAAATCAATTACCATTCACAAAAATATATGTCTGTCACTTAAGACAAAGCAGAAGGACATCTGTGTCCACAACCTAACTTTAATCTATTAAGTTTGATGAAATTGTAGTGGAGAACAGCCACTGGAGGGAAACTATAAAAAGGCACTATCACACATTCAACATTGACAACTGCGTATTCAAGTAACACTTTGAAACTATTTGAAATAAATATATAGTGTGCATAATTAATAAGGGCATCATAAAAGAGAAGTCCCAATAGCAACTTCAACAGTTGGATTCTATAAGACTCTTGGGTCTATTATGTTTTTTGTTTCTTTTCTTGGGGGGGTAGGAGGGGCGTGCCAGTCCTGGAGCTTTTTTTTTAAATCAGGACTAACATTCTACTTGAGCCACACCTTTATTTCCAGCTTTAGGCTTTTTGGTATAGTTAGTTGGAAGTGAGTATTTTACAGACTTTCCTGCTTGGGATGACGTCAAACCCTGATCCTCATATCTGAGCCTCCTGAGTAGTAAGGATTACAGGTGTGAGTGATCAGTGTCAGCTCTAATTTTTTTTTTTTTGTCAGTCATGGGGCTTGAACTCTGGGCCTGGGTGCTTTCCCTGAGCTCTTCAGCTCAAGGCAAGTGCTCTACTGCTTGAGCCACAGCACCACTTCTGGTTTTCTAGTAGTTTATTGGAGATAAGGGTCTCAAGAAGCCCAGCGTGGCTTTGAACTGTGATCCTCAGATCTCAGCCTCCTGAGTAGCTAGGATTACAGGAGTGAGCCACCGGCACCCGGCTCTGTGTATTTTAAGCAAAGCGAAATTTAAACCACTCAGGGTCGTATGTCTGGAACCTATGATTTATACCAGAAGTGTTCACGAGTAACAACAAAGCTTCTGCAACACTTCATGGAAACTTCCAACTTGCAAGAATTTTACTTTAGATCACACTCAGACCCTCAAGAGTGTCTCCCAACTCCCTTTGCTTTTTATTGCTGATACCACTCTGTCTATAGTTAGTAACAGCACAATAACACACATGCTTACACTTATATTTACATGCCTATATACTCATACCTTCTGCATACTCTCTCTGACCGATTAAAAGTTTCTGTGACCCAATGGAGGACTAAGGTTTATAATTTCTAAATCTGAATATGTGTATATATATATATATATATATATATATATATATATATATATATATATGTATAATAGGTATCCATCCATCTACCCCTCTACCCATACATACATACATATAAATAAAGATACGTGTTTTTATTTTCTTTTTAGGTTCTGGTTGAATGAATGAAATCAATTACTTAGGGTTTGTTCTACCACTGAACTTTACCTCTAGTCCTCAAGTGTAGCTCAGTTGTGCTGCAAAGGGAATGAATAACCAGAGTCCACGAAACTTACTCTGAACACTTAAAAATCTTTTTGGATCAAATCTTCTTAAATATATATATTTTTTAAAAAGCTGGGCTCCAGTGGCTTACTCCTGCAATCCTAGCCACTTAGGAAACTCAGATCTGAGGATCTCATATCTAGGCCAGGCAGGGTCTGTGAGAGTCCCATTAACTATAAGTGGAGCTGTGGCTCAAGTGGTAGAGTGCTAGTTTTGCACAAAAAAGCTTAAGGACAGCACCCAGACCCTGAGTTCAAGCCCCAAGACCACCATTAAAAAATAATAATAAATTAAAAAATATATATATCAGAATAAGAGCATAACAAAAGCATAACTTAGGAATATTTTGAACTGATCTTGTTCCTTTTATTTCAAAGAGCTTAAAACAATATACTCACATTATTACAATAAAGAAAAAGAATTTGAAAACAAGACAGGATCATTGCCCTCACTTAACAGAAAAATTGAAGCTCAAGGACAGTAACTATCTTCCCCCAGATCAGGGGGACAGTGTTGCTATGGACTGACTATGTACAATCAGTGCAACAGTCCAAACCTCAAAGAAGGCAGGATGGTTTTCTGTACTTACTTCTTTCGTCTTTGTCTTTCCTTTAGCCTGGAATGATAGATATCTACCACAGCCATCTTCAGAGCTATAAATACATTCATTTATAGAAATAAATTAAAATGATAGAAATATTTTAAAAATCCATTACCCAAACTCCAAATCTCACATTGATATCTGCTCCAATTCCACATTTGCCAATCTAGGAAATACTGCTTCTAATGGAACATGAAAATATCCTAGCATATTGTTTTTTTTTGTCTTGTCTTTTTGTAGATTACAACTTCCACTTTATACTACATACCTTTCTTGACTTGTTATATATTTTACTACATAGGGTGAAGGCTGTAACTTTTAATACATGGACTAGAAATCCTATCTAGAAAGAGTAGATACAAAATAGTTTTTCTTTTATTGGTGTTGGAGATGGAACCCAAGGCCTCAAGCATGTTAGACAAATGCTCCTCCACTGAATTGCACTCTGAACTCAAAAACAAATATTGCTATGACTCTATAGAAGTAATCTCAATCTCAAGAGATGCTGTCACAACAAGATTAACATGCACCAGAAACTATTTTTTACAGTAATGTTTTCATGTTTAGAGTGCAGAATTTTATATTCTGTAATAAGAGTTAAGATGCCTACGTAAAAGCCATGCTCTTTCCTTGTTTTCTCTTGTAAAATAAGAAGAGAAGCCGTAGATAGGAAAAATTTTAATCAATACAGTATTTCTTAGATGCAGCTTTTCTTGCTATTCTTTTATTCAACTTCAGAATTTTTTTTTTTTTGTCAGTCGTGGGGCTTGAACTCTGGGCTTGGGCACTGTCCCTCAGCTCTTCAGGCAAGGTGAGTGTTCTACCACTTGTGCTACAGCGCCACTTCCAGTTTTCTGGTGGTTTACTGGTAAGAATCTCACAGACTTTCCTGCCTGGGCTGGCTTTGAACCTCGATCCTCAGATCTCAGCCTCCTGAGTAGCTAGGGTTACAGGCATGAGCCACCAGTGCCCGGCCTCAACTTCAGAATTCTTACAGCTCCAGCTATATTTCTCTTTTCATTCCTCACCTTAATCCTATAAACACATCCATCTCTAGGGCTCCAACTACCATCAAGCTATATAATCTTAAACTGAGATAGCTAGTGCAAGCTCCAGGTCCTACTGGCTATCTTTATTCACAGAGCCTTCTATTGCAAATTTTCCTATCCTCTATAACTCTTACCTTGGTTAACAGCATCATAGTTAAATGAGTCCAAAGCAGAAATCAATCTGGATTTTTCCCTCCTGTCCCTATCTAGTAGCTTTACCTACTCCCACCTTATACTACTTACCTTTCTTGACTTGTTATATATTTTACTACATAGAGTAAAGGCTGAACACTCTCAAATTCATCTTTTATCTCTAGTCCCATTCTTTAGCCCACATATCTTGTCTCTATCAACAGCTTGAGTCAATCTAGGAAGAGAACCATCATTACATTTACTGACTCCATTTCTGCCATATGGACTCCAAGTTACCCCTCCAAATGGTACCAGACTAGTATTTTACAACACAACACAATCTTTTTTTTTGGTTGGTAATGGGGCTTGAATTCTGGGCCTGGGCACTGTCTCTCAGCTCTTCAGGTCAAGGCAAGCACTCTACCACTCGAGCCACAGCGCCACTTCTGGTTTTCTGAGTGGTTGATTGGAGATAAGAGTCTCACAGACTTTCCTACCCAGGCTGGCTTTGAACCGTGATCCTCAGATCTCAGCCTCCTGAGTAACTAGGATTACAGGTGTGAGCCACCAGTGCTTAGCTTACAACACAATCTGACTGAATAATTTTGATACCTATAACTCTTCAGCAACTTTCTATCTACTTACAGGAGTTCAAACTCTTACAGATCAGAGGCATTTTATTGCCTTGATTCTCTCTTTCCAGTATTGCTTCCTACCCCTTTCTCATAGGTCTTATACACTAGGCACACAAAACCACCAACTCAAGATTATACAGCTGCTAAGTAAATATCAGGAATCTTGATTCCAGAGCTGTGAGTAGGAAAAAACAGTGAAACTGTTCAACATGTTTATTGTTAGTGGATTTACTTTCTCTTATAAGTACTATATCCTAAATCTGGCTTCACTGAAATGAAACGTGTTTAGGAAAAAAAAAATAGAAGAAAAAAAAGGAAGTCAAAGTCAAAAATATCAGAAACAAAAATCCCTATGGTTGCTTATAATTAGAAGATCTCTAGGATTAAGTAATGAATTATTGATAACTGTAGAAGAAACTATGAGTAATGCATTATTTAGCATTACATTGTTTTTGTTTGCCAGTTGTAGGGCTTGAACTCAGGGTCTGGGTGCTGCCCCTGAGGTTTTTAGCCCTCTACCACTTTGAGCCAGTGGCACTTTAGGTTTTCTGGTGGTTAGTAGGAGATAAGAGTTCTCTGGGACTTTCCTGCTGAGGTTGGTGATCCTCAGATCTCAGCCTCTTAAGTAGCTAGGATTATAGATGTGATCCATTGGAGCCCAGCTTAGCACAGTTACATTAAACCATTCATCTATGTATTCTGTAAGCATTTAACAATTTCAGTAGATCCTGGGACTACCTTGTCTCCTTTAGCTCTGTGCAAATTGAGAGTTTGTTCATTTTCACTTGTTTTCATTATTCAAAGGAAGATCTACAGCATCATTTGAAAAATTAATACATTAGTAAAATGTAGGTCATAAAATTTCTAAAAACATAGCAGCCTGTGTAGCAAAGAATTTGGTTATATATGAGAATCACTTCTTTCAAGACAGTAAGTTTCATTCCAAAACAGTCAAAAGCCTCTTGAATGGTGGTAATTCAAACCACAATGTAATTTAATACGCATCCAAAGAATAGGAGATTCACGTTTGAGTTTAGCCCAAGGCGGGGGTGAGAGGGAGGGCAATGAGTCATGCTTTATTACAGTAAGTATTTAAACATTGTTGTCCAACAAAACATTATTTGGCACAATAAGTCAGACCTGCTCTAGCTGAACCTCCTTCTCGAGAACCTCAATTGCCTTGTCCAGCAAGTCCTTGAGGGTACCTCCATGGAACACTTTGAAACCCACACTTTTGCTAGAACTAGATTTAGAGAGAGGAAAACGTGTGACCAATCAAGTAAGAAAACAGAATAAAATCGATCACAAGAAGTCCAATTTTATTTTTCAGTAAATGACAGCAAACAAAAGTTGCTGGGCTATGTACAATCCCAAAGCACTGTCAAGTCCAGATATTCCATACTAACTATTACTGAGTATTTTGCTGCTATCTACTCTTAGGATATGGTTAGATCAGAAGGTTTAATATCAAAATCTTATACGCTGGGCTATGAAAGATGTAGCTTCAATCACTGAGAGTGATCCAGGAATACTCTGATCTGAGACCAAAACAAAACAACTGAAATACTAAATCTTAGCTGCATAATCTGTAGAGATGATAGAATGCAATGTTTTCTGAAGTCTAAATATTTTCGAAAATTAACTACCAGCCAGGTACCAATGTCTCATACCTATAATCCTAGCTATGCAGGAGGCTGAGATCTGCGGATTGCAGTTTGAAGCCAGCCCTGACAGGAAAGTCTGTAAAAGTCTTACCTCCAATTAACCACCAAAAATCCCCAACACCCAGAAATGGAGCTGTATTTCAAGTGGTGAATTCCTAAAACAAAGTTCAGAGACAGCACCCAGGCTCTGAGTTCAAGCCCTAGGACCAGCACAAAGAAAAAAGGAAAAAGAAAAAAATTTAAAGTCTAATTCCTAACAGTTCAAAGCAGGAAGTGAAACAAATATATCATAACAAATACCCTGAAAATTTCTCATGTGTTAGGCTCTTTATGCCTTAGATCATTTAGCTACCCAATAAGATAAATTCAATAGAAAAGAAATATCTTGAAGAGCCAGTGAAAATTACTAATTCTGACAAAATATTTCTGTAATTTTTTGTCAGATACTAAATTTATCATTTTGTTTCTGGAAATTTGTGTGGGAATGACTTAATTTAAAATAAAAAGTTGCGGGCACTGGTGGCTCATGACTTGAATCCTAGCTACTCAAGAGGCTAAGATCTGAGGATCGAGGTTCAAAGCCAGCCTGGGCAGGAAAGTCTATGAGACTCTTATCTCCAATAAACCACCAGAAAACCACAAGTGGCACTGTGGCTCAAGTGGTAGAGTGCTCGCCTTGAGCTGAAGAGCTGAGGGACAGCGCTCAAGCCCAGACTTCAAGGCCCACGACAGAAAAAAAAAGCTGAAGAGACTGTATTTTCAAAATTATCAACAAACTGCCAGTGGTTCTACTGATTCATTATTTCAGTAGTTTAAGCTTAAAAAAAAAAAATAGGGCTGGGAAGATGGCACAGTTGTAGAGCGCTTGCCTTGCATGCCTGAGGCCCTGGGTTTGATTCCTCAGCACCACATAAGCAAAAAGAAAAAAGCCGGAAGTGGCGCTGTGGCTCAAGTGGTAGAGTGCTAGCCTTGAGATGAAGAGCTGAGAGACAGCACCCAGGCCCAGAGTTCAGGCCCCACGACCGGACCCAAAAAAAAAAAAAATAGAGCCGGGCACAGGTGGCTCACACCTGTAATCCTAGCTACTCAGGAGGCTGAGATTTGAGCATCCTGGTTCAAAGCCAGCCCAGGCAGGAAAGTCCATGAGACTCTTATCTCCAATAAAACCACTAGAAAACCAGAAGTGGGGCTATGGTTCAAGCGGCAGAGCTTTCGCCTTGAGCTGAAGAGTGCAAGGACAGCACCCAAGCCCAGAGTTCAAACTCCATGACTGACCAAAAAACAAAAACAAAAACAAAAAAACAAAAACAAAAACAAAAAAAAAAAGAAAGAAACAAATGGAAGTCTGGAATTCTCCTAAAGAAAAACTGGTATTTTTCTCATATATTTTCTCTATAAAGTACACTCAAGTAGCAGCAACTGATTACAACTACATGATTAACCCAGGCAAGATCACAATACAGCAAGTAGAATAGAAATGAGAAAAGCAGACACTGCAAGAATGAGAACCAGTTCACATTCTACTTCAAGTGACTGGAAGCTTCAGTACGAGCTAGCAAACAAAGAACCAAG